AGCATGGAGGTATGCAAACTACAGACGAAGAATGTCAAACACCGTGGGGGAAACTCAGACACCCTCCCTGCGTTTACTATTTCACCGAGTAACTTACTCAGATTTCCTGAGGCCAAATTTATTTGTTTTTTTTTTAAATTGCACAGCACAGTGATCATCAGAGTAGCTCATTTTAATAGTATCAATATACCCAGCACAATATCGTGAAATGAAGATAATGTAAAACGCACATGTACACTGAATAAATTTCTCCTCTCGTTAGAAAGTACGTAATTTCCAAGAAAAGTCTTCGGTTTCCCAGATCTGTCCTTCACCTCACTCAGCTCTGTTGGTGCAGGGGAATCTCCACACCAGGAGAGTCAAGGGAGAGTTTTTTATTTCCAAACTTCCAAACCTAATACACAGACCTCCCAGCTACCTCACTGGGCTTTGGTTACTTTTAGCGTGTACTGCTGCCTACAAACAGGCGTCCTTCCAGAGACAGGATCCCAGAGCCCTAGGAACTGCTACACCCCACACTGACCACTCTTGAGGAGCCCTCCTGGAGCACTCACGGCCAGCACCAGGCTCTGCCCATGATGTCCATGAGATATTTTACCTTCCTAAACACATTATTACAGCTCCAACTTGTTCTTTTAGCTGAGCATGGCTAATAGCTTTTCGGGTCACTAAAGGATAATGGCAGCTTGATGAAAGGAAAAAAAGCTGACCTCTGTGGCTGCATCTCCTCCAGTAAGCGGTAGGTAGACTACCTACTCATCCTGCGGTCCCAGAAGTTTGCCTCTGCTAATCTACAGCTCTGTGCCTAGCAAACCCTCTTTTTTTTTTTTTTTAAACCAATAATCATCAGTCCCAAAAATAGCACCACCAGTATCTTGGGAGTGTTCCAATATCACACCCAAAATTACTTCCAGATGTCCTTCTAGCATGTCAAGCCAAAATATGGAAGCTAGTGGCGGGTGAGATGGCTCAAGGCCACTCGCTGCCAAGTCTGATGGCCTAAGTTTGATGCCTGGAACCCACGTGGGAGAGGGAGAGGATGGATTCCTATAAGCTGTCCTCCGACATCCACATGCATGTGCAGCATGACATCCGTGTACTTACATGTATACATACACACAAATAAATAAGTATGATAAAAACAATTTTCAATAATGCCTTGTGAAGTTTCTCCTAGACACTGAATGAGCACCCTCTCAGGAAGGGAAAGCTTCGGGGCCTCTGAAGCCAACGGCTCCCCCTCACTCCTGACTTGCCATGGGCCCCTGACATGCTCATCACCACTCTTGACTTGACTCAGCTCACCAAAGCTATCTTTCCTTGGAACCTAACCAAACCCTAACCGGTGGAGTAGGAATCCTTGATGTGCCAAGGAAAGTTCACTGGGTCCTAGGGATGTAAGGTCAGCTCTGTTCACAAGTCCATCAGAAAAGTCACTGGCTAAAAAAACTTTGGAAGCTCACTCTTTACCTAGAAGACACACTAAGTGTTGTGTAAACCTCCCCAACTATGGCACAGATCTCTAATTATGGCACACATTCTAAATCTCATTTGCTTTCTTATACCATTATAAAGTTCTTATAGTTTGCATACTTTAACATATGCTTAAATCATTGATATGCTTTACCATAACTGAGTTAAACATTCCTTTACTGTAGACGTTCTTTCTTTCTTTTCTTTTTTATTTTTATTCTTTTATTTGAGACAGGAACCCTTTTATAGTATTAGTAGTGTTTCCATAAACATCTTTATGCACGAAGAACTTCCTTTTTAAGATTTTTAAGATTATTGTAAGATTAGTCCTATTTTAAGATTATTTATAGTAATATCAGCAACAAAGGCATCTTGTTTAAAGAATACACATTTAAATGCTTTTATTTCTGCATTTCATTTTATGTGTATGTGTGTTTTGTCTGCATGTATGTATTGCACCATGTGTGTGCCTGGTGTCCATGGAGGTCAGAAGAGGACATCCGATCCCCTGGGACTGGGGTTACAGGTGGTTGTGAGCCATCATGTGGACTAGGAACTGAACCAGAGTCCTCTGCAAGAGCAACAAATGCTCTTAACGGCTGAGCTAGCTCTCCAGTCTCAAGAACAAACTTTTTAAAAAGTTTTTCAGTGCTGGCTACATGGTTGGCAACTTAAAGGGCTATTCCAATTCTACAGGCCACTATTAATAACCTTTGCTGTCCTTACACCAAGAACTGACCCAACAAATGTAGCTCTCCAATGCGGTGATTGGCAGTAGAGACAGACTCCACTATTCTACAAGGCAATCTAGGTGGTTCTGAGAGCACCAGACCTCGGAATCCTACTTCAAAAACTTAGCTCTCTAGGATGATGGCAATCTCCCCGAGAAACGGAAACCAACCAACTCACCAAGGGAGAGGGGTCTATGTTACTGCAAACAGAACTAGGGTATGAAGTTTTATTTCTGGCCAGGTGTGGTTACATATCTCAGTCCTGAAGCTCAGGGGACTCAGGCAAGTAGACCTCAAGTTTGAGGCCAACCTGGGCTATAGAGCCTCTGCCTCAAAAATGAACAAAGTTTCATTACTTTCATTTTGTAGGATCATATACATATTGAACTGTCTAAATTACACAATTACTTACAATTAAAATAACTTTTAAAATTAAAAAAATATTTGCATCCCATATATAAGTGTTTCTCCCCCCACCCCTTTTTTGAGATGTGGTTTCCATGGTTTCTCTATGTAGTTTTGGAGCCTGTTCTGGATCTCACTCTGTAGACCAGGCTGACCTCAAACTCACAGAGATCCACCTGGCTCTGCCTCCCAAGTGCTGGGCTTAAAGACATGTGCCACCAACCGCCAGGCTGCTTCTCTCCCTTTTAGCTTCTCATCTGCCTAACTAACACTAAAAGCTGGTGACTAAAGCCAAGGATAGTTCATTTTTAGGCTCAGCTTGATTGGATCACAGGACACCTTGGAAGCTGCTGACATATCATTTCATCATTGTGTAGGAAGGAGTTTCCAGAGGAAAGTAACATGCAAGTCGCCCTGGAGTAGATGGGAAATATAGATGGACACCCAACAGGCCATCAGAGGCCTCACCTTTTGCGTGTGTAAATTTTCAGTTCTCTGTGGACAACCACAGTTTAAATGTAGTAAATAGAAAATCTGAGAAATAGCTTCCCTAGTGGTATAGATCTGTGATTCTAATGCCTAGGAGGTTAAGGGAGGAGGGTCATGAATTTGAAGCCATCCTGGGCAACTTAGTGAGGCCCTACCTCAAAATAAAAAGGAAGGTGAGGGCTGGTGCTAGAGTTCAGTGGACCAATATTCCAGAGATAGATAATGCACAGGTCTTAAATTGTGCACCCTTCTGAGCAGCCAGAGACCCTGTGCTACCCAGCCTCACCCAGGATGGGAATCATCCTTTGCCAGCATAGCCACACAGTATACAGGGCCCTCCCGTTAGCAACTCGGTAACCATCTCAGCTATCAGACCCACTGTCTCAGCACCACAGTGCTCACAGTTAAGTAATTCTTACTTTTACATAATAATGGCCCCAAAGTGCATAGTAATGCTGGCATTTGCTACGCCAAAAATAAGCCATAGTACACTTACCTTTTCTTTAAGTGACTGAACATACATATGGGGAAAACAACATATAGTGATTGGTATTATCTGTGGTTTCAGGCATTTCCTGGGGGCCTTGTTATATCTCTTCCGTGGAGAAGAGAGAGGCTACTGTAATTTGTGTCTATAGATTAAGTCTTGTAATCTATTCAGAGTGCCATTTGATTTCAAGTCCATACACCATCCGAGCAGGAACTTTCCATTTTTATTACCAATCTAGATTTAAGCAGCGAGTGCCTGGCATGCAATAGATACCGAATGAATATTTGATTTGTAACAGATGTTCCTCATATACAGAAATGAATTTGGGTGAACTGAAGTTGGCCAGTGGGAGAGAAGCACAGGAGACCGAGAATAAGACAGGTTCTTAGATGCAGTGTTGGGACTTTGAAACTCAAGGATGTGACCCCCCTCAGGCATTTAAACCTTCTGAGTCTCATTCCCTTTCCTCTAGGGGAAGAAGTCAGTTCCGTGCAACTAAGTGCCAAGAAATCACATAAGAACAGCCTGAGAGATTGAAATCGCGATTCTGGAACATTTAAGCATCCCTTTGGTAAACGTCACTGGGTGCTCCCACTGTAAGTTAATACTGTAAAGACAAAGCAACATTTTGAAACAGGGGGATTACCTTGACCACTGACTTGTCACTCTGGGATTAAGTGGGAAACCACTTGGAAGAAGGCGGTCCATTGGAGGCAAAACAAGAAAGATAATTAGAGTGAAGAAGTGAACGGTCCGTCTGCAGGCTCTGCGGGTTGTTATTCAAGGCTCCAAAAACTATCACTTGCAACAATCACTTTACCTAACACATTTTGTAACCATGCCTATGTAGATATTGGCGAATTTTTAACTATCAAAAATATGCAAGGTGTCTTTTGAGGACATCTTTAATAGTACTTTGTAGAAAGCTCAGCCAAACCCATGTTTTAAAAAAACAAAAAGGGCGCTGAGAACAGAACATGCTAAACCTGGGGGGTCGGGATTATACATACTAATATGCATGACCTTCATTTACAGAGCTACAACGAGCCTTAACAGGAGCAGAGAGAGGGAAGCCCTGAGAGCGGAGGGAGGAGAAACGCTAAGCAAGAAAGCAGCACAACTGAACTCTGGCGCCATCTAGAGGCTCCTCCTGGAGGAATCGCAAAAGCGGCAGCAGCCATCCGGGATGTCAAGTGTGAGCCCCACAGCCTTGCGGCAAATCAGGCAGGGCTCTAACAGCCTCCTAGGAATACTGAGGTCTTTAGCACCCTTGAATTAGAACTGAATTGACCCAGAGTCCCAGGAACAAGAAGGTTAGGGTGCCCAAAAATATAAAACGTCACAGTCCCAGCCATGCTGAAGCCTGGTGTGTCCTGGGAAAAAAAAGACCAATGATACAAATGTGCACTCACCTTCTTCCAGAGCATTGGTGCCTTTGACAGTTTCATAAAGGTCAAGTGAGGCTTAAAACTTCTGCTTTCTCCTGCCAGGATGCCTTTTTCTTGAAATGTTCTTTTTGCTGTCTCTGAAGAAAACAAAAAGAACACAGAATGCTACCATAACACATAGTTACCTCTAGTTATTGGCCGGCTGACTCAAGAGATGGCTATCGTATTACAAAGAAGATCATATTATGGGTTCCGACTTTCTGTTCCTCTGGGTTCTGTGTGCGTGTGTCTACATGTGTATGTGTTTTTCTCTTGCTTTTTTCTTGGTTTTCATTTTTGTTTGTTTCCTAAGGAGAGGGAGAAAGAAAGCATGGAGTTGGAGGGGTATGGAAGTGGGGAGGAGACAGAGGAGGAGAAACCATGATCAGAATATATTGCATGCAAAAAGACGATAGCTATTTGGTGTTTCTTAGAGACCGAGAGAACGAAATACAGTGAGTGTGACAATAAGTGCTGTGATAGTGAAGCTTCCGATAATCACAAACATGCAACATAATCCACAAAACACGGATGTGACAGGGAGCACCTCACAGAAATAAAGCCCATGCTTTCCGGGATGACGCTGTCTCTCACTGACCATCTCAGGGATTTCCTTCTGGCCTAGGAAAGGACTGGCTGGTCTGCTGTCACCTTTCATAGCTAAAATTTCTGAGCAAGATGAAGCAAAGAATCTTCCCTCCCTAACACAATAAGAAACAGGTCTTGGTCCAGTGGGTAAAATGACTTGTTCTGCAAGCTTGGCGACCTGAGTTCAGTTCCCTATCACCCGTGTAATAAGCTGGGATGCACATGCCTGGACCACACACACACACACATACACACATACCTCACCCCTGCAGTGTGGGTAGAAAAACATGGTTCCTGAGAATGTGCCAGCCAGCTACTCTAGCTGAAATATGCTTCAGTGACAGACCCAGCTGCAAAGCAATAAAACGGAGAGCAACAGAAAATGACACCGGACATCCTGCTTCAGCCTCACCTGTGTACAGCCACATACTCAGGTACACACACACACACACACACACACACACACACACACACACACGTAAATCCATCTTAAGATAAGGAACAAACACCGTGGGCTAAGCCTTTTGATTGCTCCAGTTTAAAATCTTGGGTGTACAGGAGGAGAACCCCAGATGGAGCCCAGCAGCTTTCCAGGGTGAGCAGAGAGAACCACAGGGAGAGAGCAAGACAGCTGGAGTTCAGAGAGCAGAGCACTTAGGCATGAGACCCACATCAAGGCCAGACTCCAGGGATCTGCAAAGCATCCCCCAAAATACTCAGTCTAATGCTGACGGGACATCTGTACAAGGAAAATGCCTGGGACTGGGAAGCATGCATTCCTAAGGACAGGAGGTAGCAGCATCAGTGTTTACATGAGTCAGAAACGCTTCCTCTTCCATTAGCCTTAAGTTCTCAAGGAGGGGCTTATAAGACATGAAAGCAGAAAGGGGACTATGAGGGGGTGAACAGGATGGCAATGAAATGTATGTGTCTTGAGCAGGAGGAAGACTGTCAGAGGGAAGGAGTGAACTACTGAGAGAGGGATGAGGAGGGCAGAGGTGGTGGGGGTATTAAACACAGATCTGACCTGTAACTATGAAGACATGAACTACAAAGCATCCTGAGCTAGCAATTCCACTTTAAGAACACAAAGGAAAAAAAAATATCGGTACATAAAATTCTACATAGAAAATACTGAAACAGTATCCTGAATTAGCACAGACCGGATATAATCTCCACCAATAAAGGTATGGTTGATAAATTACCATACAGCCATACCGGAAAGACGACGCTAACAAAAAGAATGAATTAGAACTTCCCTGACCTCTGGGCAGTTTAATATTGTTGTCAGTACACAAGCCACGAGCTAGAACATGCAAACAGGAAGCTGGAATTCCTTGCCCTGTGTGTGAAAAACTCATACTCATGAAGGACTGTTAATAAACACCCTTTCAATGCATCTTTATCCAAAAGTGGCTTGAGGGAGGGTTGATCCGGTCAGTAAATTCAAAGGATAAAGATGAACCACAAAAGGCAGTACAGAGGGGATGGTTTAGCAGGTGAGAGCACTTGCTGCCCAAGGATGAAGACCCAAGTTCAGATCTCCTACCCCACAGAAGTCCAGCGAGGCTTCCAGCCTCTGCTGTGGGGGGCAGAGGCAAGAGGGTCACCCAGGAAAGCGAGGCAGCCAGACGAGCCTTAAAATAGTGAACCCCAGGTTCCGTGAGAGTCCCTGTTTCAAAAGAATAAGGTAGAGAGAGTGATGGGGTAAGTCACCCACCATCTCCCTCTGGACTCTACATGTGGGCACACGGGTACCTGCACTGGCATGCACACACACATACACACCTCCCACATTGAATCCGTGCTCAAGACAGCCTTCCTTTCATTCACAGTGGAGAAGGAAGTGGGGTTGAGCTGGCCTAACTTCTACTCTGCTCATGTTTCACCCCACAATCCTGACACTGAACTCCTGAAAAATGAAAGATGCTGGGCCAGCAAGATGTCACCAAGCTTGGAGAGAATTGACTGATGCAAGTTTCCTCTGTCCTCCACATACGTGCTCACACACACACATGCACATGCACACGCACATGCACATACACACACAAATGTTAAAAAAAAAAGTAAAGGATTTTTCTATGCAATACTGGAATCAACGGTATGCTTAAGTTGCAGACACCAATTTGGTTGGAGACCAGAAATTGTTAAAGATGCATATAATAAAAAAAAAAAGTACTTGGATGAAAACATAGTCTGGTATAGCAATATCCTCCTGAATGTTTCTTAGTGTAAGAGTTGAGATTTTTTGGCCAGAGAACTTAAAATAAAACAGATACAAGAGGTCATATCATCTCTCCTAAGAAAATGAAGGACCTTGCTGTAATAATAGGCCCATGTGAAAATAATAAAAAGACTATGGCTATAATCCAGAGAGAATATCAGAGTTCCAAAACAGAAACACCTGAATAATCCCCTTACTATAAAATCACACAGACACATTCACTAATGCAGCATTCTAAGTGTGGGGGCCTAAAGTCTTTGGATTCTGTTCTAAGCATAACGAGGAAGTTAGAGCTGGAGGCTCAGCAAGAACAATTTCTATGTGACAATAACTGTCTTTGCTCAGCTATATATTTTGTGTTGATATATGATCCCTCCCTTGGGGCCGCCCTGCATCCTGATGTAGAAGCCTCTTTTTAAGGAAAAACTCCAACCCCCTCTCTTTCTCTCTCCACTCCCACGAGGTGTGCACCCCTTGACCCCCTCCCTCTCCCTGTCCCTCTTTCTCTCTCCTTTCCTATATTCTCTTCGTCTCTCTATTATAATAAACCACTTCCACATGGATGTAGTGTCTGGGTTGTGAATGTCCACCGGCCGCCAAGCCCACATCATAGGGTGGGTTACCTGCCAGCCTGCCACTGCATCTGCCCAGCATGCCAGCATGTTTCCCTGCAGGATACCCTCCACATCCCCGCATAATAATGTATAACATTTTGACTAGAGTAGAGTAAGCATTCTGAAATTCCAGACCATTCTAAGAACTCTTTCTTCTTCCCTAGACTGTATTTTTGTTGAAAAGGGACACTCGTGGACTGTCAGAGTGTGTTGGGTAGGGTTTTGGAGAGAGAGTATCTGGGTCTTCAGTCACCATGTGGCATCCACTGAGACCTGTACCATGCTTGACTTCTGAAGTGAGGTTGTAGCAGACTTTCTTTTGGGCCACCAACCAGCTCCCAAGTTATGACACAGAAACGTATTATTACTTATGTGTTGTTTTTTTTTTTTTTTTTTTTTTTTTTTGGTTTTTCAAGACAGGGTTTCTCTGTGTAGCTTTGCACCTTTCCTGGAATTCACTCTGTAGACCGGGCTGGCCTCGAACTCACAGAGATCCACCTGGCTCTGCCTCCCGAGTGCTGGGATTAAAGGCATGCGCCACCACCGCCCGGCTGCTTGGCCTTATCTTATGCTTGTCCCATCAGCTCTTATAACTTATTTTAAACCTGTTTCTCTTCATCTATGATTTGCCTTGGAGCTTTTTACCTTTCTTTCATTCTGTATGTCCTACTTTATGTCTGCCTGCCTGGCTGGAGGCTGGCTGGCCCTGAGCGTCTCCCTCTTTTTCTCCCTCATTCTCTCTTCTCTCATCTTGAGCCTAGATTCCTCCTCCTACTTATTGTCTCTGCCTGCCAGCCCTGCCTATCCCTCTACTGCCTACCTATTGGCCATTCAGGCAAAGCAACACATCTTTACATCGTTAAACAAATGCAGCATAAACCAACGTAACACATCTTTACACAGTTAAAGTGGTACTCCACAACACTAGGGCCTCCTTTATTCCCATACACAAGGACGTTGTATGGTGTCCGTCTCTCCTGGCCCAGCAGAGCAAGCAGCTACAGAACGGTCCCAAGCCCTTCACTGCCTTCCTACAACTCGTGAACACGGGGAAGAAGTAAAGTCTTATGGACTGAGCCGGGAGGAGCAGAACAGGATAGGGCCACCTGGAACAGGATATGATGTCATACTTTCATTTCCTCTCCACTGATAGCTGGGAGTGCAGGGGAATCTGGCTTTGCTGCCTTAGGACACCTCTCCAGGGATCAGAGGCTCCAGTCTCTGTGGTTTTCGGCTGTTTTAGTCACAAGATGATGGCAGGGAGAAGTCACACCTTTGTTTGCCCTCTAACTACATCTACAACTGTATCTTCCCCTAACAGCGGGTGCAGAAAAAAATGATTACGGCAACGTTGCTGTCAAAACCACAATGCCTTTCTCTATCTCTACTCTTTCACTGTTCTCATGCAGAACACTGGGGAAAGCAGGGTGGGGGAGGGGGGACAAGCAACAGGAGACAGGAGGAGAATCTTCAACACTACCACATGTTGCCCAGCTGTGTGATGAAAGCCTTACTGTGGTCGTCTGCTTTTTAAATGCTTTCTAAACGCTGGTGTGTGCTGCATGCGACACATATTCTGATCATGTTATGTGAATTTGGGACAGGTATAAAAACCCTTCTGGTCATTGCCATCACATGGATTTTCCTCCATCTTCTGCAGTAAGAAAGGGTA